CAGAAACTATGTCAAAAACTCAGTGCATTGCTCCATATAGCCCCTCAGCAGCTGCCCCTTCATGGAAAGCCCATCCTGTGAAGGACAGATTAAAGTTCTTAAATGTTCGGGGGTAGGCAAGGAGCAAGAAATAGTGGTGGAAGTTATAGGGAGGCAGGTTTTTGTTTTGTATAACAAAAAACCTTTTTAACAACAGTTGGACCTGTTCAACCAGAGAACAAGCTTCCTGGAGAGTATTGGGGAAAAAGTGCTAAGAAAATGAAAATGCATTCAGGCAGAGGCTCAATGATCCTCCTTGATCCTTTCTTATGGTCTTTTCAGACGCCTGTTGTAAAGAGTTGTTCACATATCTGTCTTCCTCAGAAGACTCTCTTTTCCTGAAGCGGGGACTTAGTAACAGAAATTGAAGGGAAGGAGGTGGGATAAGATTTCTGATTTGCTCACTATTTCCATTTATGACCACCAGGGTGCGCAGAAGCCTTCCCTTTCCCAAAGACGGGAAATTGACCCAGCGAACGCCCTGGGTAGAAGGAAGTGTACAGGACTAGAGGGAGGATTAGGGTTGACAATGGCAGGCTTCGAACAGTCCAATAGCTTACTGACGGTATCTTTATGGGAGGCAATGGAGCACGCACTAAGATCGCAGAAGAGGGCAAAGTTTTGTTAGGATTACGAAAATATTTAGTCCTTTAATCTGGATGCACGGAGCCGATTCTTTGCTTGATTTGAGAAGTCTATCTTAGGAAGACAAATAGGGAAGAGGGAATAGAGGGTGGGATGGGGGTGGGGGGGAGGAGAGAGCATAAAGAGGGAGGGGCAGTGCGAAGGACACGCCCACCTTGTCAGAAAGAGCTACACACATGGGGAACTCTACACAAGGTAGGAAGTAACAGCTTAAGCTTTACAATAGAAACATCTTTATCCTACAACTCTGCTGTATAGGTGACAAATCAGCCATTCCTCCTCTGTCACACAGACCTCCCAGAAAACTGTGAAGTGGGTAATATCTCTGATTTATGGATCTGGAAATGGGGGTCCCCTAGAGAAACAATAACTTTCCAAAGGTATACACATTGTTAGTGGCAGGTGTTCTGATTTCATCATTGAACTGCTTATGTTTCTCTTATGGGTCCCCACTGTCAACATCATAAGATCCGAAGTCTTCGTCCCAGCCTCGCCTCCATCATTTTCACTCTTTCAGCTTCAACACGCAGACCTCCGAGACCGGGCACATTCCGTTACTTGGAATGCCCTTCCTCCAGGCAGAATTCGTCGCTGTCTCTCCCACCTAATCACTTTGTCTTAGAGTTCCTTGTTTTCGGGGTGTAGTCGCCGCTTAGCAAGGAATGAGTCAGTTGAGGGCCGGATCCTAGCACAGTGAATGGCTGTCGAATGGAAAGACTGGAATTGAGGTCAGACGGACCGACTCGCAGCGGGATCTCGCCGTGCTTGTCCCTCGAGGGACCTGGAGCTAGGGGAGGTGGAGCGAGAGGCGTCGAGGGTGGAGGGGCGGCGGCGGGGCACGGGCCCTTTAAGGAGGAGCGCGGGGCGCGGCCCAGGTAAGGGGCGGGTCCGCCGGGCGGATCAGCTCTGCGCGCCGGCGCCGGCCCGGGAGCCGGATTTGGAGCGCGCGGCGCCGGCGGGGCCGGAGGGGGCGGCGTGGCGGACGGAGCTTCCCTCGGCCTCAGACGCTCCTCCTCGCCCGCGGCCGCCGGCCGCCGCCGCCTGCGCCTCCTGCTCCTTCACCCCGCAGGGGCCCGGCCGCCACTTCCGGCCGCTCACCTGGGACGTGCTCACCTGGGACGTGCTCACCTGCCTGCGGGCGCCTGGGCACCAGGATGAAGGACCGGCTGGAGCAGCTGAAGGCCGTGAGTCCCGCCTCACCCAGCAACCGGGCGGGCCGGGGGCTGCCGGGGTGGAGCCGGACGGGAGAGGGGCTTCCCTCCATTCCCAGATCGTGGCTGGAGGGTGATGGTGGGGGCGGGCGCAAGGCCTGCCCTCCCCGAGCCCCAGCCGTATCCCGAGCGGGTTCCGCATCCACCCCTTCTCTTTGGGGTCATGTGCCGGGTGATTCACGCTAGGCTGCAATTTCCCTGGATGCCTCCAGCCTCGTCCCACCTCCCTCGCCCCCGCCCCAAGCTGGACGGCAGAAGTCCAGAGCTGGAATCCGCGGGAGGTGGGGGGTGCTTGGGCCCAGCGGGGCTCACTGTGAGGTCAAGGGTCACTCACCACCTGCTGGCTGCTGCCTGGTACTGTGCCCAGGATCGGCCTCCCCCCAAGGCGCTCCCCCTGGTTTCCCTGGTAGGGGGTGGGGTGGGGGTGCTGGTGGGGGCGCTGAGCCGGCTGCCCTCGCCGGGGAGAACAGCTCAGAGGTCCTGGGTGACCTCCCGTGCTGTGAGCCGGTCACGTGCTCCGATGAGGCCAGCTCCTCAACGTCCGGCTGTCTATAACTATTAATTTCACCCCCGCATCCTTGGGACAACTGTGGTCAGAGCAAAGGGTCTGAAGGTAGACCGTTTCCAGCTGTAAAATCTTAGGTTACTTACTCTTTTGAGCCTGTTTCCTTATCTGTCAAGCGGAGATTGATGGTACCTTAGGGATTTATTATGAGATCTAGTGACATAATGGGGCTTAGTAGAAAGAAGTGTTATAGCGTGGGTTTTTAAGTCCAAGACTCACTGACTCATTGAACAAACAGTTATTGAGTGCTTTCTGTGGGGCGGGCCCAGTGCTAAGCCTCTGTCCTAATAGAATTTAAATGCTAGCCCTTGATACAAAGTAATCCATCTACTCTGGAGTCTGTCAGAAGCACAGAAGCTTGGGCCTCAGTCAGGACCTACAGAATCAGAATCTATTCATATGTCTCCCCAGGTGATCGTGAGCACATTAAAGTTTGGGGAGCAGGGAACTGAGTAGAACTCTGGTTGCCTCCTGGTTCCACCGCTTCCTAGAAGTTGAGACAAAGGGACAGTCGCTGACTGTGGGAGTCGGGCCTCCCTGCCTCCTACTTGCTCTTGCTGGAGTACGCTGGCTGGGGAGGCAGAAAGGGAAGAGGAGCGTGGTTTTGAGGCTCTTCTGTATAGCACGCCCGGCGATCATAAAACAGTGCAAAACTGGACAGCAGGCAGAGGTGGCTCCCTTCCTCAAGTCAGGAAGTCCATTTCCGGAGGAAGGCACCCCACGGCCCTTTCAATAGCCGTTGTCAAAAAATAGCAAAGAGCTTGACCTGAGCTTTGAGTTCCAAGTAGAAAGTCCGTTTGCCAGGGGACCCATGCAAGTCCCTTTGCTTCTCCGAGCTTGTGTTACCCTCTGTAAGACAGAGCTAACGCTGTGTTTCTCCCTTGACCCCTTGGGGATGTGGTGAAAGGGAGATTACAGATGGTGGTCTTATTAGGAGGGTGCTGTTTTCAAATCATGGTGCTGTGCTAGAATTGTGGAACAGGGAGATGGGGGAGCGACGCTGTGCAAGGACGACAGGGCTGCGGGTCCAAAGGATTCTTAACTGTGGCCCTGCTGCTTAATGGCTGTATTCCTTTATGTCACTTTGCCTCTCCGCTCCTCTAACCCCTCTTGGTAAAACACAGTTTGGTCGCTCTCAGAAGGCCTTTCTGGCATTATCAATGTTTTCCTTGAAGACTGTTGTTAAGGTTGAGCTGGATTTTGGTTTCTAGTCCACCTCTTCTGATCACCTGTTCCTTTCCCCAGGAGAGAGATCTTCCTCACTGCAGCAAGATAACTCTCTTCTCTCTCTGATTCCTTTTATCAACATTTGCTGACCTGTATGAAACCAGTTTCACCCTGAGCAGCCTGTGCAATCTCCGTCTGTGGGCATCTTTCTAAACCCCGGGGGAGGCGAGGTGATAACCGCCTCCAGATAGCTGGAGGGCAGCTGTGTGGGGGGAATTAGCTTTTCTCGGTGTGGACAGAAGGAGGAGACAGAAGCTGATGGGGAGACATTAGGACTCAGCAGGAAGCATTTTTTAATAGTCAGAGCTGCTTGAGGCTGGGCTGGCCTGGTGGGACGGGTCATGGACCCTCAAGCGCGGGAGGGAGGCAGGAAGCTTGCTGGGATGTTGGATGCTGTAGGCATTTGAGCATCTCTTTGCCGGGGGTTGGAGGGTAGTGGGCAGATGAGGACATTTAAGCCTCCATCAACCCTGAGGATGCGTGTTTCTAGAAATGCTTCATTGTGCGCCTGTCCCAAGCAGTGGGAGGCTCTGGTGTCTGTAGGGCTCAGTTTTGTGCCTGCAGAGTGGACCACCATACCTTCCCCACGGGGTCCTCAAGGGGGAAAGGAGACAGTCCGTGATAATCCCCCACCACAGTAAGGGTGAGCTCCTCACACTTGACCGGCCGGGAGCAGCGTCCCCACCGTCAAAGGACACACCTTCCCGAGGCCACAAGACCTGACTCATCCAATCTGTTGCACTGCTGCTCCTGGTCTCAGTAGCCTGCCTGGCTTGCCAGGAATGTTCAGTGCCTCACCCGGCCCGCCTCTCAAGGCAGTACCTGCCGATTTCTCACTCGCTGGACTTTGGATCTGCCAAGCCCAGACAATTCCTGTCCAGGAACGGCTTGCCTGGCCCTCTTTTCACTCGGCAAACGTTGACCGGGCACCTGCTCCGTCCCAGGCCCTGTAATGGGTGCTGGGTGCTGGGTGCAGGGCTGATTCCCGGGCCTCCTGAAGGTCACAGTCAGATAGGGAGACACACAGGAAACAGAGACAGTGATACCATCCTTGGGACACAAGCCACCACGGGAAGACCCTGTTGGCCTGGGGGCTCTTCCCAGAAAAAGCTCAGGTCCCTCTTCAAGTCCTTGTTAAGATTCCAGTTTAATCTCTTCAGAGCCGTGGAGAGTCCCCTAAGAAGAGAGACAAGGATCCTGGATTTTCTCACCCATCTCCAGTGGGCAAGGGCTTCCTGGGTACAACACCAGCAGTGCTTCTGGACCTCTGTGTGCCTAGCATCCTGCTGGACATCATGCTGGGCAGAATTATATACCATGTCCTGGTCGTAAACTGTATTTATATTACATAGAATCCTATACAATTGTATAGAATTATATACCAAGTCCTGGTCGTAAAGGATAGATGGTCATATAGGGAAAACAAAGAGAAATATTGCATGAAAAGAGACCCTCAAAATCAAACGTAGACAGTGGTCCCAGAGAAGCAGTGATGTGTGGAATGGAGGTCAAGGACATTGGACCCCCGTGGAGACTGATCTAAAAAAGAACTGGGAATGTCTTGGGGTCTGCTGGCCCCTCCACGGCCAGCACCAGTAGGGACACACTAATGAAATCAACCCCCTGAGGTGCTAAAGATCAGACGGACTTCAGTCTTTCTGCCCTGCCTGGTGTCTTGCTGCATCCTTAACGGCTTGTCCTTGGCCTCCTCCTTTATTTGAAGTTCCCCCATTCAAGTTCTTCAGGAGAATGGTTGCAGTCTAACCCCATCCAAACAAGGAGCCGTACTTCCCCTTTAAAGCTGAATTCCTTTGATGACTGTTTACTGAGCCCCTCCTACTGGCCAGGTGCTCTGAATCACCTGATCTGACTTGAGAATGTCTTCATCAGCGTCCATCCTTTGGTGATAAGATTTCTAACTGGGCCATGGTTCCTTCCTGACCTCTTCTCTCTCCCTGGCAGGATTCGTGCCCCGGGAGAGCTGCTTTGCTGTGAGCAGACAGGAGGCAGAGCTGAGATGAGAGTGATAAAGGATTGAGTGGGGATTAGGGACCCGCCTGCCAGGGGCCAGAGAGAAAATGCGTGGTAGAGAGAAGGGGATTAGTTTTATTTTTATTCCCGAGTGTGTGTGGGGGGGCTAGTCCAGTGGCAGGAGGCGAGGGAGCAGTGCTGGTTCATGTTGTCCTGGCTCCCTCCAGTGCTCCTTCCCCTCCTGGCAAGACTCCTGCCCGTCTTCTAGAACTCTAGGTGACGCTCCCTCCACGCAGCCTGAAACACGCCCCCTCCATCCCAGCAGCCGGCATGGCTGCGTGCTGCTTTGTAGCGAAATACTTTCTTCTCTTGGGAGTGGGGTTTTTCGTTACCATGGAGTGGGCTTGACCCCACCTCCCATTTGTTTTTTGTGAGTTGTACTTTTTTGTCTCCTAGATCCATTTTGTCTCCATGATCAATGGTGCTACTCCTCGTTTTTGTCACCATATCAACTATGGTAACAGTGATCATTTACTGAGCCACTACTTACTATCGGAAGGGACTTGTGTTCAGGGCCTTCAGTACCTTGTCTCTAATCCTCTCAACCCTGCCAGGCAAGGTGGTGGTATAGATTGTTCCCATTTTGCAGGTAAGGAAATTGAAGCTCAGACGTGACTGCGATCCCCAGCTGGGAAGTGGTGGGATCAAGAATTGAACACATCTGCCTGCGTGCCCTCTGATGCACTGGCAGGTAGAATGTTCTTCTGGGCCCCGGTGCCTGGCACTCTGCATTATCTGTTAAGCATTTGACTATTGACTGATCAGCAACACCTTGGCCCCTGTACATCTTTTATTCATCACTGGGACCTACTCTTCTGGCTCCAACCCTTCTGGGTTGGTGAAACCTTACCTTCCTGAAGTGCAGCATTTAACCTGGGAACCCATGTATTTGCTAACAAAGTCAGAAGTCACTGGTTCTGTCCTCAAGGACAAGGATGGGTGAATTCCAAGGCTCCTAGGTGACCTTAACCCCCTGCCCGATACCTCATGGCGAGTTGCCCCCTTTCAGAGAGACCGCGAAGGAGATGTAGGAACCACAGTGACAGTCTAGCTGCCTCACTCTTCCCCTGGGGAATCTTAACACAGCCCCCAAGGCCCAGGTGCAGCGTCAGCGCTGCAGGGAGGCCTCCAGGCCTGAGCTAACATCGCTCACCAAGCGCTTCCACAAACTTTAGTTCCGTTGGCATGTGCAAGCAGCCCCACTGTGCTGTGGTTTGGGAAGCTGCCTGCCTGTGAAGCCCTGCTCTCTGAGAGAGCCCAGACCACACACGCCTCATCCCTCTGTATTTTCACTTCCCAGCCCACAGCCCAGAGAGCTTAAACCACACCATCCAGCGGATGGATGGGGACAGTCTACAGACGAGCTTACCCGGAGAGTCTGTGGTCCCGAGGGGGCCCTCT